AGAAAAAAAATCTGGATAAGAACCAATCATACCAAGAACAGCACCCAGAACATCAATTCTGGATTAATACAATTCAAGCAAAGATATCAAGTATATCCTCAATGCAGCCCGATGGACAAACATAATCGTTCGAAAAGCTAAGAAAACATTTCCCCCGAAATCTTTTAAACTTTTCCCTAATCTAATCAAATTTCCATATAAAAGGAGGAACGTTTCGTATAAGTTTTTAACTTTTGCCTCACACATTAAAAATTCAGAATATCCCAACCCTAACATTAAACATACATAGACCCAAACCATCAATTTTCACGATTTTTCAACTGAAAAAGACAACAATAATTAAATAAAGGCGCACCACAGACCTTGATGGGAGCTTCAAGTTCAAGAAGATTAGGCTGTTGAAGAAAGATTTCTCTTGCAACAGTGCAAAGCTGACGGATCTCACCTTCCAACAGCTGCACCTGCTTCCCTGACCCCGTTTGTTTTAAATCCAATAAGCGATGTATTATATCATCCAAAACCGCAGGTTCCATTGAAACAGATCCCATAATTTGGGGAAAATAATAATGATAAAAAAAAATCTCCAATAACAACAAAATTTCCAAATTCCCTACTCTTCTCTCCTGAATTTTGATTTTGTTTTAGGAATTCTTAGAAAAGGAAAGAGTCGGACGCCTGGCTTTTCTTTCTTAATTAATGCCTTTTTACTGCTAATACAATATATGCAAAAAATAAATTAAAATAAGGGCGGCGGCGAGTGGCTGACTGACTGAAACTCCGATGTGGCGGAGAAGCCTAAAATTTTATATGTTCGAAAATATTTTCGTCGGAGTCCATAAATCCGCACTTCGTTAGGCCTCAGGTAAAACTAAAAGCAGTTTTTATTTATGATAAAATTTCGAAAAGACCCCTCTCTTCTTTTGTTATCGTTAGTTTGTTGAAGTTCTTTTAGTAACTTCATATTTGGCCGATTTATTATTTATTAATGCCAACCAAGTATAGAATATAATCATATAAATTAATTAATTTTGCTTTGTAATTGTATATAATTTCAATACACTAATCGCAAATTTGTTTTGAAAAATGTTTGGTAATATTTTATGGCAATTTAACTGGCAAACAAATAACTAATTAAACCATAAAATGAATCTAAGCCATCCAATTAAAAACGGCATTGACAACAATCAAACAATATTTTGAGTGAATATAGCAAAGCTTTGTTTGATCTTATCTAATTAAGGTGTGATCTTTAAAATATGTTTTGTTCCATTAAATTTGGCATACTTTATTAAAAAATCTAAAAGTTTAGTGGTAGACATTCCATTGATTACCACTCATTTTGATTATCATCTCTGATCATTTTATATTCTATGTTTGAATTTCAAATTCGATTTTTTTAATTAATCACTAGTATCTGATATATTGACCGACTAATCCAGATCGGGTATTGCAGAGGCGAGGGCAACTCTTCCAACCCAGTTTGCTCCATTCGCAAACGTCAGGATTCGAATTCCTGACCACTCAGGGTTCTTTACTTCTAATATCAACTTCCCACCTATAATTCCAAGTCACCATTTTTCAGAGAGCACATGTTGAGAACAAGTGCAAGGTAAAACCAGGCCTTTCCATTCTATTGCTACTAACAACTGTGTGGTTGTCCAAAACATCACAAGCTTTCTTATCACAATTAAGTAAATGAATATGTATTCTAAAAGCGTCTCTCAAAGCCAAAAATTGACAAAAAACAATTAACGGTCTACTTCCTAGAAAATATTTTTTTTACCTTCTCAAATATGTCAGTCACCCTTTTTCAGTAGAATAGCATCCTTTCTTATGTTTCCCGATGTATCTTTGATGTTAATGGTAGTTCCTTGGCCGGGAATTGCGGTACTAGCTGCTGCTTCCTGCGCTGCCAACGCCTTTTTGCTTAAGATATGGTGGATGTCATTCAATATAGCATGGAATGCCTTTTCAATGTTGGTTGCTTCCAGTGCCGACGTCTCGAGAAAAGAATGATTTCCCTCTGGGCCTTAGCACGACCATCCTCCTCAGAAACAGCTCTGAGATGATTCAAATCAGATTTATTTCCAGCCAGCATGATAACAATGTTAGAATCTGCATGGTCCCTCAATTCGCGAAGCCACCTTTGAACATTATCAAAGGTTTGCCTCTTCGCTATGTCATATATCAGAATTGCACCAACAGCTCCTCTGTAGTAAGCACTAGTGATAGCTCTTTATCTCTCCTGACCTACCGTATCCCAAATCTGTGCCTTAACAGTCTTTCCATCGACCTGTATAAAGGAAAACAATAGCAACATATGAACCATCAATCAATTACTACACTACATCACCATGCTTGCTAATTAACAAAGAACCCAAAGAAGGTTCTAATGAATCTAATATGACAGGCTGGAAAACACAAGAAACTGTTGTGGTTTTCAGAGCCAAATGCTCAATTATGTCATGACCATAATATATATCTACACCAACTTCCTATTATTACAAATGAGAATAAAACAGCATAAGAATCACTTGGATGAGTACAATAATGGAGACAAAGAAAGATAGCAGACAAGATGTTTTCTCACTAATAAAAAAACCTTCTCGTCCTTCCGGCTGAGGTTGCTTTGCTAATCCAAGATTTTGCAAGAGAGGGCACCATTTAAGCTTACTAGATGTAGTATCTAACCCAATATATTTGAAATGGTGATTAAAGTCGACAACCACTTCATTAAATACAATATTTGTTACTTTGATAATATATTAACTTTAAAGGATGGAGAATCTGTTATGAATCATAACAATTTGATTAACAAAATTTCCATCCTTCATACCGCCAAGCAAATCCAAAGAGTGATCTAAAGAACACCTTAAATTGATCAACTTCCAAACACATCTTACATGCAATCAGTTCCTAAAAACAAAAACGCGACAATCCTTGACTCAACCATTTGATTTCAGGCTTTCAGTGTAAAAGTACAACTTAAATTACATTTGATGATCATCACTATCCAGTAATCTTTTCTCTTAAATTACTACAAATCATTCAGAATGAACTTCCAAGGTACAACTTAAATCACCTTCGGCAATCACCACTATCCAGTAACCTTTTCTCTGACCTTAGTACAAATCATTCAAAATGAAAAATACCAAGTTACAATAATAGGAAGAGAGAGTAGAGACGGCAATCGGATTCGTCAGACAGTATCTATTAAGATGACTTTCTATTCACTAATAACAATCAACTTAAACATGCAAAAATTTCCGGAACTAAATCAGATCAGAAGTATACACACACCTCAAAACATCAAAGGTGAACAGAATTTTCGTAAAACAAATCATTTTTAGAGGAATAAAAGAAATGAAACTAAGAAACATACATGAAAATGATTAAAAGATGAGTCGAATGAAAAGATGAAAAACCTGGAGGGTTCTAGTAGCGAACTCGACGCCGATAGTGGATTTAGATTCCAAACAAAACTCGTTTCTAGTGAACCTAGAGAGAATATTTGATTTCCCAACTCCAGACTCTCCGATCAACACAATCTTGAAAAGGTAATCGTACTCATGATCTACTTTATGCGCCATTTTACCCTCTTTTTCTCTATATTCTTTATCTCTTCTCTCTCAAGCCCGGATTTAGAAGATCCAAAAATCAATCAATTCCAAAGAAAATAAAGCCAAACAAAGAACAGATAGAAAGATATTGAAACGATTGAACTTATCAGAAGCGGATAGACGCCGAGAGTGGATTTAGATATTAGGTTTGGAAGATCACCCTTATATAGGACCGACTTTCACTTGGTCTAATCTCCAATCTGATGGTTTTTTGACCCGAAAGCTGGATAGTGTTATGGTTAACATAAATTGGCTGACTGTTTTTCCAGCCTCACATATTAAGTTCTTAGTTTCGGGTGTGTCCTGCTTTAGTTTGGTTGGACAAGGATTTATCGACCAATAAGCCTACGCCTTTCAAGTTCTTCAACTTCACGGCCTCGCATCCGAATTTCAAGTAGATTGTTAGTGACTTGTGCCAGTCCTTGTCTCTGAGTCGGAATCCGATGGAGACTCTCTTCCTTAAATTGAAGAGGCATAAGGGCGAGTTTAAGGTGCTAAATAGAGTGCATTTTGCTGAAATCTCTAAGAAGGTTAAGCAAAAAGAGGGCAGCTTGAAAGACAACAGCTTTTGAATCTCACTGGTGGGGTTTTGAATGGTTTTGTTTGCGAGAAGATGCTTAGAAGGGAGTTGACTGATTTGGAGATGGCTGAATATTCCTTTTACAAGCAGCGAAAATTCGATGGCCTTAAGAAGGGGATGTTGGTACAAAAAAAATTCATGAAAAAATTATAAAATTATCCCTAATTATATATATAGTTGCTTTCTTGAATTTTTTAATTATTAAAAATAAAAAACAATATTTCAATTATTCATATATTTTAAATTTATTTTTTTATTAAAATAATTTGACGGCGTTCTAAACTAAACTTTAACTTATTAATTGAGATATAATAGTTATTTAACAGAAAATAATGAGTTTGAAATATATAAAAAATAATAAGATTATTTTGTAACTTCTAATAATTAAAAAATTTAACAAAATAATTTCTTCTAATTAACAGATCATTTTATAATATTTAATAATAAAAAATTTAATAAAATAATATCATATAATTAAAAAATTATTTGTATACTTTACCCGAACACCTTTATATATTTAATCTAAGCTAAGAAATTGGACTTGGGCCCAATTTGAATAGCGGTAGAATCTGGATAATTCAAGAGAATTCTGTGACGCTCGTGAAATATATAGACAAAAATGGAAAGTTGGGGAAAATACTAGATTCATCTTCAGGTTTTTTTATAAATACCCAACATATCCTAGTTACTCAACACCAGGAAGGTAGATTTGTATTCTCTGAACAATTCGCAAAAACTTTTAAGGTTTTCATTTGCTCAGTTCTTGTGTGTTGTTTCTAACCTTGTTTCGAAATTGCAAGAGAAATGGCGATGATCCCAAGTTTCTTTGGCAACAGAAGGAGCAGCGTCTTCGATCCTTTCTCTCTCGACGTTTGGGATCCATTCAAGGACTTCCCTTTCCCTTCATCACTCGCGACACGTTCACCGGAAACTTCTTCTTTTGTGAACACCCGCATCGACTGGAAGGAGACCCCTGAAGCTCACGTCTTTAAGGCTGATCTTCCGGGGCTTAAGAAAGAGGAAGTGAAAGTTGAGGTTGAAGATGACAGGATGCTTCAAATCAGTGGTGAGAGGAAGATTGAAAAGGAAGACAAGAACGACACCTGGCACCGCGTGGAGAGGAGCAGTGGGAAGTTCTCGAGGAGGTTTAGGCTGCCGGAGAATGTGAAGATGGATCAAGTTAAGGCTTCCATGGAGAATGGGGTCCTCACAGTCACTGTTCCTAAGGTGGAAGTGAAGAAACCTGATGTCAAATCCATTGACATTTCCGGTTAAGAGTTAAAACTTGCAAGGGTTTTTTTTGTTAACGTTCTAATTATATGATACTCTCTCTACGTTTGCTTGTCTGTAAGGTTGACATGTCTGTGTTTGGGTAAATAAAGTGGAGTCTACATTCCCTTTTCGTGAATGGGTTGGTGTTATCATTGAAATTTGGTTTGTGAGTTCTTATCAGTAAAAAGTAAGCATCTATTTTCATTGCTCTGTTTTTGGATTCAGTTTCGTCTTCCAAATAATGGCAGAACTACTTATGTTTTCCGTGCAAAATTATCTCTATACCGTTCGGATTTTAAATTACATATCCAGTCTGCTCATAGCCAAATTATTTTCGAAGAAGATGAAACTTGGAAGATCAAGTTCGATTACAGACCCCCTACGCAATCAGCAAACTCCATATATTTTTCCCATATAACTAATGATGCAGCCACTTGATGAACAACACGCAGAACAAGATCCACAAAGTCCAGATTGTTGTGCTAAATAAGACGAAGTATCAATAGTAGAAAGTTTTCAAGTTGATGAAAAATCTTTGTACATGTTAAACTACAATGGGTTTTAGAATGTTTTTGCGTTGATGATCGTTTTGATTCTTGTCTTGAAAGTATGGACAAAAAACATATAATTTTCACAAACCTGGAAAAGGGTAGAAAGAAATGTCATCGTGATCTGGTCAGAATTTTAAGGGAAAATCTATTACTAGAATTGCCCAAAAATCAAAATACACGAAGTTGAATCTTGGAAACTGAAAAAAAAATGGTGATGCTTAGGGTAAATTATGTATTTAGTATTTAAATTATTGATTTTAAAGTGGTGATGATTATATATGATGTAAGTTTTTGTTTTATTTTAATATATCGTTTAGTATTTAAATTATAAATTTTGGTATATTTTAATATTTAATTTTTTTTATATTTTAAAAAGATATTAAAATAAAATAAAAATTAAATTTTAAGTATGATTTAAAAAATTAAAAGTTTAAATATTAAAATAGATAAAATTAATAGTTTAAATAATAGATGAATGAATAATTGATATAAATATATATTTCTTTCTTTGTTGAATATTGATGGATATATATCTTACTTTGACTAGCTGTTGTTGATGATCAATTTTATCTATATTTATAATTTGTATTTGACATATATTGCAAACGCATTTTTTTTCTTCATTTTCACTTTAGATTTTGAGTGTACAAAATGACCATCCAGCTCAGTTGGTAGAGGGCATTTCATAATTCGGAGGTCTCTTACGGAAGCTGCTCTTAACCTGGTGTTGGGGGTAGCCTACTATCTTACTTCCCCTTACCCCATATATATAGGAAAAAATGACAGCCATTTTGAGTGTACAAAAATTTAAAAGATTTTGTCAATTTCTATGAAACGTTTATTTTAAAGATACCACTAATTATGATGATTTTACTTTAACACACTGATTCATCTACAATAAAAATAAGCTTAATTTTATCTTTCAATTATATTATTTTTGGTATATATATATATATATTATTTACTTACGCAATATAAATTTAATAAGCTTTACACTAAGTCATTATGTTTAAATAAACAAATGACTTAGATTTAATTAAAATTTATAATAAAAAAATTTGGTGTTTAGGGTTTAATATTTAAGTTTTAGGGTTAATGATTTAAGTTTGAGGTGTGGATTTTAGGGTTGGATTTGAAGTTTGAGATTGAGGTAAAAGGAGATATTGTTTTACTCTGAGTTAAAAGATATTTATTTATGAGTTATAAATTTTAATTAAATTTAAGTCATTTATTTATTTAAATATGATGGTTATAAATTAGTGTAATATTTATTAGTTTTACATAATGTAAGTAAATTATGCTTTTATGTATATGAGTTATAATTCACTTACATAATGTAAAACTCTTTAGTTTTACACGGATTTAGGATTATTAGATGAGTGAAAACTGATGGTTGAGATTGACATATTCCAGTAAATCTAACAATCATAAATCTATGTAAAACAAAAATAATTTTATATTGTTTAAGAGGATCATTCATATGCATGTATGTATATGACCTAACATAATCAAGTCAAATTTAATTTGGAGAACATGGTATAATAAAATTTACTTCGATATAATTTCAATTAAATTTATATTTTATATATATAGCGAGAGTTAAGGTTCACTTATATAATGTGATTTTTAAAAAAAATTATTATGATTTAGAATTGTTAGATGGTTGAAAATAAACTTAAGATTATCTTCTTAATTTTTTTAGTAAATATACTCTTTTGTTATTGTTAATGATTAAAAAAATATTAAAAATTAGCTATACAAAATATTAAAATTAACATAAATATATATGTGTAAAACAATAATTGCAACTATTTAGGCAGATGTCAAACTTGATGTTCCAAAATGATTTAAATAAAAAAAGATAAATTATACAAATGATCCTTTAGTCATAAAGTATTGTTTTGTTGAGTCGTCTGACTATTAAAAGTTATAAAATGATCTTAGATTGTAAGACATTATTTTGTTGAGTTAATCAACTATTAAAAGTGACAAAATAATCACTCAACTATTCATGTTTTCAAACCTGTCATTTTTTGTGAAAATTTTAACGATCTTCTTAATTAGTCGTTAACATGTTGACTAAGATATAATAGTCGTTTGAGATTTTAAAATCATATTTTATCATATCTCAATCAGTAGGTTAATGTTCAACTTATAACGTCGTTAATTTTTTAACGAAAAAAGATAAGTTTGGAATATATGAATAGTCAAATGATCATTTTATAATTTTTAATATCAAGGAGCTCAACAAAACAATACTCTATAAGAGGGTTATTTTGTAAATTTTAATAATAAAAAATAATAAAATAACTTCCTATAATTAAGGGATTACTTGTGTAATTTACCCTAAAAATTCAAGTCTGGACAATCAATGAAATATCTCTAATTTTATCTAATATAGGAAATTAGTCTGGGCCCCAATTTGAACAACATTAGAATCCAGACCTTTCAAGCCCATTTTCTAATGTTCGTGAACTTGCTAGATTTTTAGGTCCAAAAGGCAAAAAAATCCAAAGGGAAGTTGGAGAAATTACTAGATCCCTCTCCAGCTGGTTATAAATACCCAACATGTCGTAGCTAATCTGCAACAAGAAATAATAAGCGTCGAAAACTTTAGATTTTCCATTTGTTCAGCTTTTGTGTCCATCCTTGTTCAGATAGTGCAAGAGAAATGGCGATGATCCCAAGTTTCTCTGGCAACAGAGGGATCAGCGTCTTCGATCCTTTCTCTCTTGATGTTTGGGATCATTTCAAGGATTTCCCTTTCCCTTCTTCCCTCGCGACACGTTCACCTGAAACCTCTGCTTTTGTGAACACCCGCGTCGACTGGAAGGAGACCCCTGAAGCTCACGTCTTTAAGGCTGATCTCCCAGGGCTTAAGAAAGAGGAAGTGAAAGTTGAGGTTGAAGATGACAGGGTGCTTCAAATCAGTGGTGAGAGGAAGATTGAAAAGAAAGACAAGAACGACACCTGGCACCGCGTGGAGAGGAGCAGTGGGAAGTTCTCGAGGAGGTTTAGGCTGCCGGAGAATGTGAAGATGGATCAAGTTAAGGCATCCATGGAGAATGGGTTACTCTCAGTCACTGTTCCTAAGGTGGAAGTCAAGAAACCTGATGTCAAATCCATTGACATTTCTGGTTAATAACTCAAAAGTGTTTGAAGGGTTTTGTTGTTAATATTGCGGAAGTCTGTTCGCTTCTTCAAGTTTGGCGTGTCGTGTCTTTACGTTTTTCCTGTGTCTGGTTTGAGATGAATAAGCAAGAGCTTACTATTATTGTTGCTTGTTGGTGAATGATGTTAGAATTAGGGTCTGGCTGTAAAACTATAAGTTTGAATTAACAAATGTAAATGGTTTTTTCATTTTCATTACCTTTCTCTTTCTCTTTCTGTAGTCTTCTTCCCTATTGAAATTCTAAAACTTATAACCATGGGAGATTGTTGTTCCTGTAAGGTCAAATTCTACGGGTGATCCCTGTAAGTAACTAAAGCTTCAAAGATATAGTCCCAGTGAGTAACTTTTTGTCGTTGCAAATCTGTAATTATTTAACTCCATTGTATGAATTTGAAATCGTTGAGTGCGGTTATTCGCAGCAGTGAATGGAAAGTGCTCTCATGCCTTAGTATTCATATTTTATATTGTCGTAATCGGTTTTTGTTCGGGTATAAATTTTTATTTGACGGAAAAAAATAAAATGAATAAATAAATGATTTTGATTAAAAAAATATTTTGGGAGTCGTCATTAACCTTTTTGGGTTTGGTAGGTCAAATACCTAGAAACAATCTATTAAAATAGTTTTTAAGAAAACATAATTTAAAAGATAAATTGATGTGCGTATAATCAAAAAAAATTAGTAAAACAGGATTCGTGGTCGGTTACGTTTAGGGAATGATTAGCACCCCTATAACGCTCAAAATTGGTACCCATTAATTATAAATTATATCTATTATTGGAAATTTAAGAATTCGAATTTAATTTAATTTATGATCTTTTCATATTCAATTAATAATAAGGAAGAAAATATTAAAATATTTTTTATAAATTATAAATAAAATATTTATTTATTTAAAAAATATTAGAAAATGACTTCTAGTTGCTTTAATATAGTTCATTTCTTTAATATTAATAAATAAATAGATATTAATAAGAATATAATAATTTTTCTTAAAATAATAAAATAAAGTAATATATAAATTTCTAAGCAGAATATTTATTTATTTTTAAAATACCAGAATAGGACATCTAGTTATTTAAGATCGTTCTTTCTTAATATTAAAAAAATAAACAAATATTATTTTTTTAATTAATTTGTGAAATTAATTAAATAATACTTATTAATCTTTCATATATATATATATATATACATATATTAATATGACTAAAATTAAATAAATATAAAATGAAGAAAATATAATAATTTGAATAAAATTAAAATAACTATTTATACATTTGTTTAAATACAATATTTATTTATTTAAAAAATATAATAAGACAGCCCATTTCTTTGATATCAAAAATAAATAAATATTAAGAATAATATAATAATTAAAAATAATAAAAATGAAGTAAATATATATTTTTATAAATAAGATATTTTTTTATTTTTTTAAAATACCA